TACCTGTAATTAAAAAAAATACGTATAAATAATACTTCTGTTTTGTGCACATACATTATATTACTTTGCTATCCTAGAGAAAGTAAAATAATATATTGAAAATTAGTTTAAACATAATTTACGAATAGAAATATCACAACTTTCAAGTGACTTTTGTCATTATTTTAATAAAACTACTTTGTGCAATTAGAATTTTCAAAGAAAAAGGCAATTTTCAAGTCAGTATTATTAAACAAAAATTTACTTGAGTCTCTGTGCATTTTGCAATAGTATTTATAAGAAATCAGCATGTTAACAAAGAGGGAACCATAATTATATATCAATGGTAACATTTTTATATAGCTCAAAAATCATAATGCTGTTGATTTTCATCTATTACAGCTTTTTAAAGAAATCTTTTGCTCTAAGACATATAGACATAGAGAGTGCAGAATTACAAAAGCAAAGTTAATGAAGAACACAGTAGGAAAGTTCTAGCTTAAATCCTTGAAAACATTAATTTCATGTTCCTTATCACCTAGTAGTAATTTTGGGGTCATTCACAAACTGCTTGTTTCACGATTATCTTTGGAGATGAATGTCAATAGAATTATCAGTTATATATTATTTTTTCAACTGAACTGATAAACATTTAACTTTATAAAAATTAACAATTGATTTGTAAATAATTAATAATTTTAAATGTTTCAGTGACTCCAGGTAAGTTAAGCCTTTTTGAGAATTATGTCTCCTGGATGTTCTATCTACACCTGTGAATGTAAAGTGATTATTCTGATGAGGCAGGTGTTTTTCTTTTTTAGTTGACATTCCTATGTTTTTGAACATAGGCCTTACTATTGTATTACCAAAGAATAACAAAAACTTACTGCAGCCATATGAGTATTTACAATAATCCGATGTAACCATATGAAGTACAGGTATGTTTATTAATTTATGTTGAAATATTCAGCCACAAAACCAGCATGTTTTATTTAATAGTAGTATAGTATATAATCAGTATGGTATTTTTTATAAACCCTAAAATTAAAAGAGACACTACATGTAAGGTTGTATTTTAGTGGCATAGAGATTCACGTGACAGTTTCACGGTTCACTGGGGGGGTCAAAGTCCCTGACTGCTATTCCACTGACAAGGCACTGAAGTAATTGCAGTCCTGGTTGTAGATACGAAGATGGGCAGGCTGACATAATTTGTTAGAATTTGAGCAGAAAATATAGTTGTTTAGTTCTAATACTCTATGAGACATTTCATTAGTTAATTTTAGCAGAGTTTACCAGTGCTTTCTTTAAAATACAGATTTGGATAAGAATATCTTTTAAAGATATGCAGTTATGCATTTGGGTAACTTGTTCTTGAAGGCAGCAAGCAGTGAAAGTATAAATCCAAATTCTAGAAGGGGTTGCCTCATAAATATATTCCTACATCTTACAAACATGCACATACATACTCCTCATTTTCTTTTCACACACAAAATCTGCAGTCATGGTAGAATTGTTTCATTCCAATTTATTATACAAACACTTCATCTTATGGAAAATAATCTAAAATTTCTAGAAATATTTCTCAGGAATGTCTGATATATCTCTCATATCCTCTGATTAAATGTATTCAGTTTCACAAAAGACCGAAAAGTATTTTTTTTTAACATTTGTTAGTTTTAGTCATAGACTTCTTTTCACAGAAAATTATTTATCTGAAAAGTGTTATAATTAGAAAGTTAAACCATGATTACACATTACTCCAATTATAAAAATGAACTAGAACCATCTTTAGGTTTTACTCTGTGCTCATGAAATATTGAGAATACACTTTTAAAGATTTAATTCTGAATGTTAAATATGATATTTTAAAAATAAGCATTTGTTTTCAAAATCAGAACATTTTCAAAATAAAATATTGTTGAAAACATTTATGATTGGGCAAATTGTGGTGGTTATTATAATTTTCATGAAGAAAAGTATACGGAGGCTTTCCAAGGAGCAGGTTTTAAATTACATTAATTTTTCTAATATCATTATTTTGTTCAATATAATATAATGCATATAACAACTCAGGCACAGAATATCATGTGCAAGGTTAATTATAACTCCTCTACAGGCTGTTAATAAAAGGTAACAAAATACATAATTTTTTAGCATCTAGTATGAAGTCATCCAAAGCTCTTCTGAAATATTAGATGGTACTAATTTCTACTATAATGCACATCAGTCTCCCTCTAAATTTACTATATCCACAGTTTTCTTTCCTTTTTTTTTCTTTTAACTCTATGACTAGTATCCAAAAGAACACACAAATTCTCAAAGAACTCACAAATTTGAGTATGGAACATTATTGAACATTAACTTGTCATTTAAAATTACTTTCCCTTTAATCATTATTTTATTTTCAACATTCAGGAATTCTGAAATAATATTGAGAAACAGTGGGTTTACTTTTCATAGAAGTATTTTTCAAAAATCTCTATAAACTGGAGAACTATATCATATCATCTGTCTTTAAGTATTAAAATTGTCTTACGTAGTTAGTACTGTCCTCTGGGATTTAGTTTTAAGCATCTAAAACAATCTTGTTTAGAAAAACAAGTAAAGCATAATGGCTTATTTACTAAATATTGGTGTGTCCCCCAAATTTCACTGGCATGAATGATTTATTCACATAAAACAAAGGGTGTGTGTGTTATAAGAGCAGACATTAATGCTTACACCTTAGTATTTTTATACTATGTCGCATTTCCTAAGCTTACATAACAGGCTATTTTGTATAAGATTACTGACCTTAGAAAATTAGATGTACCCATATAAAAAGTTATCAAATATCAAAATTAAAAAATAAATGTATACTTAAAAAATGAGTGTATACTTAAAAGCCAAGGAGTATGTCACCCAAATTTTATTTTTGATATAAGGACATGAAAATCTTCTTAAATTTATTTGCTCTTTTCTCCTGAAGCACTAAAAAATAAAAAACCTAAACCTAATTGCACATTGATTATTAACCTTCTATGGACAGAGACATGAAATAGACACAGAAAAGAAGCTGAGACAAAAAGAAAAATTAGTTCATTTATATGATATAACAGCATTTTGTGTGTCAGGCCAAGGTTAAGAGACACCAATGGGGAAAGATAAAAATGGTAGGCAACTGAACACTGGTAGAAAAAGAGAAAAGGAACATGGGGCCCTACATAAAATATACTGTTTGCTTACTTTTTGATATAGGGATAGAGCATTTACCAGAAGAAAAAGTCTGTACATCAAATTTTCCATTACTACTGAAATAATAATAGCAAAATTTAATTGTAGAGATGGATTAATTTTCATTGATAATGTCTATTAAAGCCCTGACTGACAAATACACATATATTCTTATTTCTAAACAATTGGAAGAAAGAACTACAGCACAGAAAGTATTTTGTACATGTATACAACCAAATTGGACATGTTCCAGACAGTTACAAATAATTTTCCCTCTGAACTACGATCTTAAATGCGTTACCATTTATCTCATCATCGAGATGCTTAGCTCCACTTGCGCTGGAGGCTGGAGATAGGGACCTGTATGTGAAATTGTTCCTGTTTTTAAAGAGCTCAGGTATTAGCTGGAGAAAAGTAGTCGTGTACTTATTTGTAAAGACTTCTATGCACACAGAAGTATGTAAAGACACAAAGTCTGACTAGAAGGAGAAGGGGCAGGTAAGAAAATCCCTGAGAGGTGGTCATCATACTCACCTAAATGCCTTAAACATTTCTGTCCTATGAATATACTATTTTTCACTATCACATATTTCTATAAATTTGGTCACTTCTTAATTTTGGAGTATCTCTCTCTTGAATCTAATCTCATTTTAAAAGAGGTGATCTGCTTAATTATTATTTTTAAAGTAAAAGAATCTTTACTTAAATTTTCTTTTTATTCTAGTCTGATGTGTTAGATCAAATAAGTATCAGATGAGATTAGTTATATAATTATACTAATGGTAGAGGATAAGTATCCCTTATCCAAAATGTTTGGGTCAGAAGTATTGTAGATGTAATTTTTTTCAGATTTGGAATATTTAAACATGCACAAAACTAATTTATACTCTCATATACCTTATACACATGGCTTGAAGGTAATTTTATATAATATTTTTATTGTACTTGTGTTTTGACTGCCATCTACTATACATGGTCAGGTATGTGATATCATGTTGATACTCAAAAAGTTTCAGGTTTTGGAGCATGTGGATTTTATATTTTTCAGAGTAAATATGTTCAATCTATAGTATAACTGGCTTTCAGGACATTTGTAATCACAAAAGAAAAACTGTGAGAATCCAATGATAAATATTAAAACTATCTAACAGTAAGGGAGTAATATTGATGTTTCTGACTAAACATAAACATTAAGACATCATACTTATTTTTTTGCCAAACAGGAACTCCAATTCATTGTGGTGTCATAGTTAGCTATGAAGGGATAAGCTGGCGGTAGGCATCATATTTCTTCACTCTCATGGCAGAAAAATTATTAAACTATTACATAAAACTATAATTTAAAATAGATGAAAAAGAAATACCATTATAGTTTGAAACTGCTCATTAACAGAATGGGTTATTAGGGATTCCATTACTACATACTATTTATGTATGATTAACATTTATAAAGCATTTCTATCAATAATAGATAACATCTATTTTACTCACTCACTCATTCACCTTGCTTATTCATTTGCTGGCATCCAATCCCTCTTCTCCTGGTAAGAGCCTCAGTTTTCCTTTGGGATACACACTTTCTCACTCTTAGTGTGTGTGCCTCAGGTAGGGCTGTGATCTCCCAATGCCTCCAGGGAGTGGAAATGTGACCAGGTCTAGCCTATTTCTATTTCCATGCTCTGTCATGGTTACTGATTGGAGGTTCATTACATGACACAGGATAGTTCAAGAAGAGTTAGCTTAAGAATTTGGTGAAGCCATTGGAGACAGAGACACTTGTGTTCATAATCTAGTAGGATACCTGC